ACAAAAAGTGACGGCAGAGAATTGTCAACAAAATAAAAATCTCTTGGCTTAGGCAAATCATGGACAAGCAAACGATGATTAGAGTAAGGTGGGTTTGAGTTGAAAGCTTGTATGCTCCATTTTAATGCGAAAGATACAACCCATTTTAACAGTCGTGTAATAGGCGGACTCTCGCGCTGTCCACATGGCAAGCAGTGTTCGGTGGGGTATAATGTTTCGGATCCGGCTTGCATGCTCCCTTCCCATGCTCTCATCTGTGCTTTCACTTCATCCTACAACTGTCTTTTTTTTTCTTTTTCTAATTTAATCACCTCACCCCTTAATTTTAAGGGGGTGGGATCGGACCTTATTTTGTTCCAATCAAAACAAGCCACGTACGCGGGAGCACGCGGGAGCACGGATGGGCACACGGCCGGGGAGCAGGCAAGTCTCGTTTCCTTCCCAATCCTTGTCTCCATCACTCTCCCCCGATTCGGCCGCCGACCTCGCCGCTCCTCTATCCCACCGCCGCCCGCCGCCTTCTCCTCCCTCCCATCACCTTCTCTACGCCGGCAGGGGCTTCCACCTGTGGATTGGGGATCTGCACCGGCGATGGGCTCCTCCTTCGCCCACGGCAGCGGCTCCGCCTTGCAGGGCCGGGGCGGGAGCGGGAGCGGGCCGTGCTTTGACCTGGCTCGTCAGCTCTGGCGTGGAGGAGGACCTCTTGTGCGCGGTGGCGGCTGGAGGAGGAGTTGGATTCGCCAGCAACCGCGACAGAATCATCTCAGTAGTCCTTGATTTTTCTCTACACAATTGAATTCCAGTTGCCTGGTGGTCATTGTGTGCGCAATTCTCTTAAATACTCCCTCCATTCCAAAATAGAGAACGGAGGGAGTATTTTGTATCACTTATACGTCTATACTTCAAGATAGGTATGGACATTGAGTAATTTCAGCCAACTTGCCGTATGGTAATTGCAGGTTGATTCCTCTTCAGATTTTGCTTTAGTATGTTTTTTTACTGATTTCTCGATGATCCCCACAATCACAAAATCTGGTCATTTCCAGGTTTAGCATAACAGATTCCTCGATCTAGCATTTCTTTTGATATAGGAGGTTATTTTTTACTAATTGGAGGTTTCAGGCCTCCATGTTAATTCTAAGAGGGAAAAGTCTGTTGCAATATTTGATCTTCAGATCTATCCATGATGAATTTTCTGCCAGAACCCACTTACGGTTGATTATGGTGGTGGAATGTTGACAAGCTGTGTCTGTCTACCTATCATTCTATTAATTGTTCAGTTTAAGCACTTTTGGCAGAAGGCTGGACTTTGGGCATCGGCCAAATCATCCTGAGTACTTCTTGAGTTTTTTCTCTCAGCTGCGGATTGTAATTTATTTGGTAAGCTTTGGCACATCTTCTTCGCAGCATGCTCGGTCTCTTTGTGGACGGGTTGGAACGCTAGAGTGTTTGACAACTGTTTTTGGTCTGCGGCTCGAATGCTTGCTGAGTTGGCCGAACTCATGACACTCTGGAGCTCGCGTGCTGTCAGAGAGGAAGACAGACATACTATGCTGTCTTGGGCAAATTCACTGAGATAGTTGTTGATCACCAAACCTTATTTCTTTCTCTCTTTCTTTTGCCTTTCGCCTTTCGCCTTTGTAAAGCATCCTGTTCAGCGGTCTGGTGATAACCGGTCACACTGTTTTATGTGGCGCTAATATCACCTTCATGTAATTGACTCCGGTCACCCAGGCTCACGCCTGCTTTGAATGCATAAGGTAGAAAGTGATAATACCTTTTTATTCAAAAAAAGAAGAGTTTGGATGTGGAGAGCCCGCAGATGTAGAAAATAAGGTCGTTATGGCCTCAAGGAGGCATACTACGGATGTGGTAATTAACTAACAAAGTTTCAGTTTAGCTTTCTCTCTTTCCAATTTTTTGGAAGCACAATCAAAACTTGAATTTTTACTTGCAATTCTTAAGTCTTACCTATTAAACATGTTTCTGTTTCTTATGCCTAAAAGTAGGTGGATCTAATGTGGTAATTATTTGCCAAATTTCAGAGCTGTCTTTCTTTCCAAAATTTTGAATTGTTATCTGCGATGCTTAGTTTTTTGTACTATTAATCATGTACCTGATTCTTATATATTTTCATGCAGCTGCAGAAGACGGATGCGAAGATGTCGAGCATGTGGCCCTGCACACAAGAGAATACAGTGAGTCCATACAATCCAATTTCCTTACTCTGTAGACTCCAGGTGCCTCTTGATTCACCTTTTTTTTACATCCCATAGAAGATAAGGAAAGACATGTTTTTCAGTTTTGATGTGCCATGAGCTTACAATTTTTTTACTGGAACTATACAAGGCTTCAAAATTCAGTTACAAGAACATGAATTAATCCTAGATAACATATGTTGTTGGTCTGGCAGCTTACTGCCAGAAAATTTGTGCTCTGAAGGGGTGCGAGGACTGCTAGGGATGTACAGGGTATGACACGTGGAGAGGGTGCTGACAATTGGCAATTCAAACTCTGAAAAACACAAATTCTCACATTATTACAGAACGTGTTGCTAAATCACGACAGTTTATAAGTACGTTACTGAATGTACTGAACCACATGTTAGTAGTGATCGTGAATTGTGGAAACTTGATGATTATTATATATAACCAAATTTTGCTAGCCTGCTTGCCGTAAGTTTGTTTCACCAACAGATAGTTGTATGTATGCACAGGTATGCAGCGCATTGCTCTGTTCCAAAGTGTGTGCCTGTCTAATTTTAATTTGATATTGTGTGTGCGTGCCTGTCTAATTTGCTGTTGTGTGTGATTTGGTCTGTCACTGTGCGGTCCTACTATCCTAAGGATTGCTGCCAATTTTTTTGTTGTTCGTTCAGGTTCTTTCAATGCTGCACCTGCTTCCTCTTCCTCTGCTTCGAATCGGTCTTTCGTAGGTACGAACCATGATCTTTAAGCTCATGCATGTTCACTGTTTTCTGCAAAATTCACGAATAAGTAAAACCTATATGGCGGATCGGACATTCTGTTTCCACTTCTCTACATCATGCTGCCCACCGGCATGGATATTCACCTCCACCAATTTGATTGATCCTATGTTCTACTTCAGTTTATCAGCTAAGTTTATACACTGTCCCGAAAGGCCTAAGCCCAAATCGCATGTTAATTCCCTGGGCAATTTTTTCTTCCAAAATATGTCCTGTCGTATTTAAACGAACAGATCCTTCTAATACAGCACTATACATTGGCAGAGAGATAATATAATACTGGTCTCAGTCAGATTTTGTTCTTCATGTTCATATATAAGTTCTCTTATTATCTCTTTGTGTACATAGCAACTTAGTTGGTGGAATTTATGTTCCTGCTTTATGTAGCTAAATAAATATCAGGAACTATGTTGCAGTGTTTATTCCTTAGCACTTTTGATTTACAAATAAGTTTACTGTTGTACAATCCTTATAATTGAAGTTGGTTGTTCAAGCAGACACAGTGTGCACTGACAGAAGATGGCAGGAAGAATGGTACAAATTCAACTATGTATTTGCCAAAGTTGATTATGCTTAACTCTAGGCATTGCATTACTATATCATGTTGTACTATTCTTTGAAGAATTTGTAGGAGGTACTAGAAAAGTATGACTTGATGAGGGATACCTTAATTTTAAAAAACAGCCTGAAAGAATTCAGTTTAGTAAAATATTGTATAGCCTTCTCGTAAAAGTTTGATACACTTTTCAAGAAAACAAACTTTGGTTAATCATTAAGCTATAACTTTTCTCATATTTGAACAACAAGGTTATTTGAGTTCTGCTAAAAAAAGTGGCAATGTTAAAAAAAGGTTATTTTGTGGAACTTTTGCAAACTTTGTGGAAAGAAGCTACAAATAACTGATTTCGCTGTCAAATCTACAGTCCAATGTTAATCTAGAGGGTGGAATCTTCAAACTTCGTTGATGCTTTCTTGTCCGTTTTGATCTAATATATGTCTGATGTGGTTTGTATAAACTTATGGTGGTATAATTAGTTTTGCTTTTTTTGGGCAGGATATAATAATGTTGTAGATAGACGGAGACTGAATCATTTCACACTACTTTGATGTCTATCGAGCCAATCGGACAACAAAGGCAGTTCCTTTGCACAATTTGAAGAATGTTATTTCATATTGCATGATATTTCTGACTCCTTTCAGTGGGCCTTCAATTAATTTGAGGCATCCTTTCCTAGGATCTTACCTTGATATTCCTCTATTTTCTCCTATTCCTCCCAAGCTTTTTTAAGAACTGAAATAAATATAACCAGTGTTACAAATATTAGCTGAGGAAAAGTCCTTGCAGAAAAGAAGAACCGGAAGCAAGTTTTCTATCTTCACGAGCAAGTCGGTGTCTGTAAAGCTTCGCCGGAGCCATTCCAGCTCTTTGAGAGCCACAAGGTGATCCGGAAGTCAGTGTATGTTTGATCGACCACACTCGCTTCTCTCAGAATTCATATATAATCATTAGAAGCTCAGAATCAGTCATGCCAAAAATATGAAGTGGAACTCATTTGCAGGCAAGGAAGCTGAGGAACCAGGACGCCAACGGTGCGGAGCAGTTTGCCATCGAGAGGACTAGGCCAAGCTCAACATCTCCCTCGTGCCTCCATCAACACCGTGTCCCGCAGGGTCGTCACCGTCCGCGACGACAAGCTACTGTCGTAACTTTGTCAGCCGCACGGTTAGAGGGAGGCATCAAGGGCCGGCCACCGCTGCCGGGGCCGACGTGCGTGCAATTTCTATTAATGTATCTCTTGTCGATGTATATCGTTGTGGGCGTGGCATTTCAGTTTCTTCCTCAGGTGATGTTCCAATATAACAAGTTCCATCAAGAATTGCATGTATATCTACCTTGCACCGCCCAGATGCCCCTCAAGCGGCGCGCCACGGGCGTGCCCCAACTACTAGTTCACACAAAACGATTCAATTTCTACGAGATTCACGGAAAAAAAGGGCCATATGCGGGCGTGGTTTACATTTTCGTCACATATCCCATGATCGTTTGGAGAAACGCGCGCGATACATCCATCATGGGTGGGTGCCCTGCAGCTTCAGCCTGCTGGCGACTGTAATCACGCAGTGGTGCAGGTTCAGTCGAGGACGACGCCGGCGGAGACCTTTGCTGCTCATGCGCGCCATCTCCGTGGAGATGGTGCGGCGACGGAGGTCGCACCGGAGAAGGCGGCGTATACTTGGGACGCCTGTCCCCTGCAACATCGGCGAGGTTCAGGTGTGATGCGGGCAGCAGTGCGGCATCTCCATCGACACCCGACGCGAGCAGGTTCTTGTGGTCGTATGCATCACCTGAAGTGGGGAAAAGGTAAGAAATAAGAGAAATTGTCCTGTACCAAACGGAAAATCAACAAACCAAGAAAATACATCTGTGAATCGTGTATTCTTGTGAACAGAAACTATACCCATAAATCGTGCATGCACGCATGTGTACAAAACGGACAAATTGCGTATGCACTCATGTAGTACTACTCACCTAGTATCCTTGCTTCCAGAGGTTCAGAGAGCAGGAGGAACTGCAGGAGGAAGACGAGGAGAACCTTTGAAGGGGAAGATGATCTCTCCATGGGTTAAGGCTTAAGAGTAGCTTCCTGTGGATCGGTACTAGAACTGTGGGTTGAGGCTGTGAGCAACGAACATATATGTACTGCAGGCCGGAGTGCTCACACCCGTGTGGACATCCATGTGCCTAGCTCTCTAGTCAACGTATGAGTCTCTCACCCGATCCCTTGCTGTCAAAGTGTCAAAGGGGCTTCTCTTTTATGACCAAAGATACAAACAGTCTTCTAGCTAGTAGTATCAGCATGTTGCCCACTTGTCCCAGTGGACGTTTTTAGCTATACCTGCCCTATTCCATCAAAATAAAAATAAGCTAAACCTGCCCTGTTTGCTGTTGCAATGCATGTGCTCACCCTTTTCTGTCGTTCGGGGTGTGTAACCGTAGAATATGTATACCGATAATTCATCCTGGAGCCCGGGCTCATCTGCTCCCGCTCAGCAAAAAATTCAAAAAAAATATTAGAAAAATTTAAAAAATTCCAATTTTTTTTTGTGGTGGTAGATAATTTGACGCGTGAGGTGCGCCCCAAAATTCAACTTATTTGGACATCTGAGTAGCTCTCGGCAAAAAAGACAAATCAGGTCAAAACAGTGCGTGAACAGTATACATTTTTACAGGCCCTGATTTTGTCTTTTTTGCCGAGAGCTGCTCAGGTGCTCAAATGAGTTGAATTTTGGGGCGTACCTCACGCGTCAAATTATCTACCACCATAAAAAAATTGGAATTTTTTGAATTTTTCTAGTATTTTTTTTTAATTTTTTGCTGAGCGTGGGTGCAGATGAGCCCGGGAGCCAAAACTCCGCGTCCGTATAATTACTACCTACGTTGGAGTTTTGTATTCTGCATGATGGGGGCAATGATTGTAGCTTCATGCATGTAAGCTATCGTTCTCACTCCTTTTCTTTTGTTTTTGACGCCGATTGGTTGCATGGGTTACAACTTCAGAAACAACTAGATGAAGCCATGCACGTTGCACCGGAAACCCGAATAAAACAAATGCATAAATAGGTGCTAAATAATTAAAACTATTACAAAACGAATTTAAGATTGCAGTAAGTTTGTCTTTAAAAACAGTAAAGCATATGATAAAATATTGTATAAAAAGAGAAAACTATTGGATTGATATCAACGGGGCGCCTACATAACAAAAATCTGTAACATGACATACATATATTTGTTCCAAGCATCACACGATAATTAGTGAAACAAATCATGGATAGATTAGTGCACGAATTGTAATTTGTGACCACATGCATGACTTGATGACATGACATAGTTGCATGACGAGGAAAATAGGTAATGGGTAGCCACTATTTGAGAATATAGGATCTGATGCAATGTGAAGCTTATTCTAACTGGCATACTTATCGCCACCAACCGTGCAAATGGGCTCATGGGCTCATGGCCAGCGGGCTGGAACTGTTTTTCCTTTTTCCCAAACCACGGGAGCTCTCGTAAAGAAGAAAGTGTCTCACACACTCCACTTTCAGCGACTCGCAATTGGATTTTCGAAGCTGAAGCAACACTGCATACACAACCAATGATGATTAGTATCGTGTCAGAAAAAAAGATTACTGTGATATTATCCCGGCTTGAAAATATAGCCCCCTTTAGCATTTGCGCGAGTCAAACATTTCCAATTTGTTTTCTGATGGTCAAACATTTCTAAGTTAATCATCTGTAATGAAAATATGCTACCATTGAGAACATCAAGATAATAACTATTATGCGAGGCAACATGTTTGCAGACAGATTAATTAATATAGTATAGAATATTGAAGATTATATTAATATCCTAAAACACTTTGTAGTTTGGGTTGGAAAAAATTAATAATATATCATCTGGAAGGCTGTAGCAACTAGACACTCACGCAATACTGGATCCAAAGTATGTTGGTATAATATGTCATACATGCTATATATCAAATTGAGAGTAGTTGAAAAATATGTTAAGCATTGTGTGCAATGTTAGTTTGTAACTACTAAATTTGATAGCATTGAGATGTCTTCATATGCATGTGCCTCCATAGATGTCTTCAGTTCCCTTTTTTTATGTTAGATATGTATGTTTTATGTGATGATGCAGTCAAATATGTTCTCCAAATTTGTTGCATACACCTGACATTTATTTTAACATCAAGAACATTGCACTTGTATTTTATTTTTGTAAATGTAGTAATGTTATTACATGTTCTTACATTTGGGTTGACCAAAGTTTCGGATGGCCAGTTGCAATTTTTGTGTGATTGAGCCTCGTTTTCTAGCCAATGTAGTACCTACTGATCCTGAGCAAACAAATTCAAATTTATTTATTTAATTATGGAGGGAAACATATACAAACTCATGCTTAAGAAATTATTATTGGCAACAATCGGACAAAAAAGTCCATTACCACACCCTTCGGACCCGCTGGTCGGCCAATTACCGTAAGAGGCTGCTCTTGTCTCAGATACTATGTACATGAGCCTTGAAGCTTTAAATTTGTAAAACATGAGGTTGGAGACTAGAGCCATGATTTAATGCACAAAACTTAGCAAAGTGGACCGATTAAGAATCTAGATTGAGTTACTTCCGTGTTGCCTCCAATCTGCATAACAATTTCCGAGGTGTGGGGGCATCTTTGGTGATGATGACACAGCTAGATGGGAAAACTTGCTATGTGAGTATACCAAGCTGGTACTGGAGCGAATGGGTGACACGACATTAGTACAACTATGAAAACTTGACAAACTATTTGATGAATCTTGGGTTGTATATGAACATAATACATTTTGGGGTTTCGATTGATAACAATTAAACATTTGGATGTGTTAAATCCACTCCCTTACTCTCAAGATACTTCTCAGATTTTGTGGTACATTTAGCCAATTTTGTCATCATTCGTCATTCGCGGGTTGTTCTTCTTCTCATACGCGTGCAATGTGATGCCCACCTCATTAGTTGTTGGGTTGTAGTGTATGCCTCTTTAGTTGATAGGCATGTTGAATTGCATCATCTACATCATGCTTGTTTCTATGTGCCAATATCTGCAAGTGCTTGTAGTGGACTTGAAATGTTGCTCTTTTTGTTAATCAAGATTAAAAAAGATCAACGACATGACACGATATGTTGAGAGTGCATATCTTAAAATATACCTAGTGGTGATGATTTATAATAAAATCAATCAGAGGACTAATGTTCCAATGAGTTTATTTCAAGTACAACATGTGAACTAATTGTGTGCCGGGTTTGGTATAAGTGTAACTCAATGGTGACCTCTACCTACAACTTTACAAGTTGTTGTCTTCTTCAAGCTTGTAGTATGCAATTTCTAGGATTTTTGTGAATCCAAGATTCACATTAAGTGCATGAAAACCGTACTATGAAGAGGGACACAAAGTAATTTGGTTTGAACTCCAACAACACATCTTGCACTAGGGTCCTTAAAATACAGTCTCTAGACATCCTATTCTAGGGTTTTTTGAAGCATCGTTATTTCCAAGAATTTTATCTTTTGAGACTACCGGGCCACTTAATTACTCTTTCTCACAGAACAAACCTAGTTTCAATAGTTTGGAACCGTTGTTTCCGTTTCAAGGTAAAAACCTTTATTCAATTATTTCAAATTTTTATTTGGAATTCAAACATTCCCGTGTTTTTTTACTTTTTAGAAAGTAAAGTTCTTTTTCTAAAGATTGCCCCTGTCTTTGTTTATGTTTCAGATTAGAGCAAATGACTTTTGTTTCGGAACTCAGCCAATCCCGGTTGATATATTCTTTGTTTACTCCAGCTCCTTCGAGCATAAAATTTTCCGTCAGTACTTCCGAGTCATCTTAGTTTACTTCTTTGTTGGTCAAAGTATTGGTGGTGATACGAGGCAGCCTAAGGTCATCACCATTATGGCTCCACTGCCAAGGGATACGCACATGACTTTATACAAAGGTGGATTCTATCCTTTATGCGTGTCTACTTGGTCCACTCAAGGATGGCTTACTACTTGATACTCCTACCAGGTGCACCTATAGGTTTGAGCCGAGCATCACACACACCATGGAGGAGTTCATACATAAGAGAGCACCCACACCATCCGTGAGGGAAGCATGGAACTAGAGGAAGAATTACACTACAAACAAGTACCAACTGCTACAGAAAGTGCATTGCCAGACTATTTGGTCCAGGACTCTGGACTGTCTAGACATTGGAGCGACGCCACCAAGTTCATGCGACTGTACTTCTGGGTGGTCACCACCGGAGTGTCTGGTCCACGGCTCGGACTATCTAGTCCACAGTTCTCACTTTTCGGTCTCGCATCCATACACATGTGGACTCCACTAATGGCTTGTTTGGTCCATTAGCATCAGACTATTCGTTTGTACTACTCATGCATGTAGTTTCGGGCCAAAGGCCCATGAAACCCCTTCCCACTTCCCATTTGTGGGATGTACTATATATATCCCTCCCCATCTTAGATCTAGGGTTAGCCAAAGGCCCTCCTTGCCGTGTTCATGACTTGGGGAAGAACCTCCTACCTTGTTCTTGCTCTTCCTCGGATTTGTAAGAAGCCACATGAACCATGTGGTGTGGATCTACGATTACAAGAGGGTGTTGCCTTGGCGTCACTAGTTATCCATGTGTTTATCTTTTCTTTTATATCCATTTACTTGTAATTTCCCTTGTGTTCTTCCTCAAATCCACCTCCAAGCCACGAAGATCAGGCCACCATGCGGTTTGCCACGTATCATTAGGTATGTACCTCTGCTCTTTTTCCACCAGAACCTACGAGTTGCTCTGGCGTTCTTTCGCACATTTCCATTCTGGGAAATGCTTTGTTTACTATGGTACTACCAAGATATTGGTTTTGTCTAGTAATTTCGAGTTGTTATATCTTCATATAAGAAGAGACACGTTTTTTTCGAACCACCATTCATCTTTCAACTGGAACTTCTTAGTATTTTGTTTCTATCCGCTTCCTTAATGTTGCCCTGGTTATTCAAATTTGTTTAAATTATCTCGGATGATTCTCAGAGT